AAGGGGACAGATTTTTTATTAACATTAAACATATTTAATTATGTAATTAAATTGCCATCGGCCAGTGAGCGATGGAATCGAACTTTGTGGATACCGCCTGGCATGCGTCTCATACCGCCCACCTTGTTTTGATGACTTTTCGGAGCAATGCAGACCAACTGTTATAATTTTTCCTATTTTCATCCTTCGTTTCCATTCTTTGACTTCATTTTGCGAAAGATGTCATGTGAATAATGATAAATTATTCTGAACTTACCCGATATTGCAGTGGTCACCAACTACCCCAAACAATCGAGCTGTCAGTTGACCGCCCTCTAGCTGCAGAGTTTATAGAGCTGCGGGACACCCTCGATTTTTAGACAATAAAATATGATCAGTAAACGTCAGGTAAACAATTTTCAATTAATTTTAGGTACTGAAATTATTTATTATTAACAATTAAATTGTTTAAAACGCCCTAGTACCCAAACTATGAAGTATAGACGAAAATTTTCAAATCATGAATCATTTAGAATCTAATAAGGAATAATTTGTGTCTATTATTAATTTTACGTATCTGTCGTAGATTCCGAGATATGAGCAATAAACTAGTTACGCGACTCTACTTGCGGCGTGCGGTGGGCTTGAGAGCGCTGTGTTGGGTCACGCAACTCTTTCCTTGTTCATATTTCGAAATTGAAAGGAGATATGTGAAATTGACAGAAGACAAAAATTATTCCTTATCAAATTCTGAACGATTCGTGATCAGAAAATTTTCATATATTTTTTATAGTTTGGGCGCTAGGGCGATTTGAACAACTAAATTGTTGATAATAAATAGTTACAATGCCTAAAATTGATTGGAAATCATTTACTTGACGTTCCGTGATCATAGTTCATGTTTAAAAAAAAGAATTACCCATTAAACGCAAGTGGTCGGTTGGTCAATTTAGAAGAGCTTTTTTGGGGGTTTCCCGCAGTTCTATTAGCAGCTCTATAGAAACCCTGGACGGTATTATCCACAAATGCGGAGGCTGTTAAAATAGCCAATAATAACTGATGAAGATATTTTTCTGCTATCGAAAAGGTCGCAATGGATATGGAAATGTATAACGACCATATATTTCGCACTCCATTAAATTGTAGGCCAACTGAAAATTTGGAAAATCTCAAATTCTGGGGTCGACATATTTCAAGAATTCGGTAAGAAATGATTTGGTTGTCATTTTAACGATGTTTCCACGAAAGAAAATTGAAAATTTCTGTTGAAATTATTTGTTGTTATTAAATATTTGCATACCAGCTCCTCTAATCGTGAAATTTACTAATTTTTAAACATTTTCTTATAAATAAATCATGAAAATTGTTTAAACACTTGGCAAACCTATTTTTTGGCATAAAATCAATGACAATTGGTTGTAATTGAAAAATAATTGTTTCCACAGTAAAAAATCAATTGCATGTACACTGTTGAAAATTTTCATCTGAATTTTCCGTACCAAATTCCGCAAATTTTTATCGGGTTCAAGTTCCACTGAAATTTCAGGCAATCTTGTCATTGAAAAATCAAATATTCCATATTAATTCAATGTTCAAATGATTTACAAATCAATGATATACTTCATTTTTTTGTTCAATTATTTTATGAAAATTCAGCAAAATCAGGAAAGTTCAGGAAAAAATTGAAAATTTATGTCATTTTGCTTCTAAATATTCATGTTCCACTGAAAATTCAATCAAATTGTGAAATTTCCATCTCACTTCTATTTAAAACTCATGAATTTCCTTGAATGCTATCTACAACTAGAAATTTCATAACCATTTTTCCCCTAAATCCGATTCAATGTCACTTTTATAAGAATTACTATCATATTTTCCATGAAATTGCAAAAAATTTCTAACAGTGTAGATTATTTACAGACAAGAGAGTGTTTACATTTTTCTATGAATTTTTGTCTGCTAAAGAAACGGGTTTCTGATGTTTGCTTCTAGAATTCTTCACTTATGGAATGATTATGTAATTCATGAGCATATTTGGTGTATCAAGTTTTCGTACCCGGTAAATTCAATGTCTTAGGGAAGGGATTGGTATGTCATACCGACTTGTGCCTAAATGAATGACACTTTTGAAAGTGACATATCGCACCAACAACGTCGGAAAGAGGAATACTTGAGTTTCAGTTATGTATCAGTTTCATAATCATTTATTCATCAGAAATTATCGAATTTGAGAGGTGTTGAGAGTGCAATACGATTGGAATCAAAATGATCCTGAAGATTTTCCGTGAAGATTTTCAATTGACATTGGAAGTAAATTCTAATACCGATAGTTGTAACAAAGAGCAGCCATCCAGAGTTGAGCAGATTGAAAAGGAATGTTTCGAATCATTGGACTGTCAATCAATAATATTTTAGATCGTAAGACAGATTAATAACCCACAAGTGACCTCCAGGTCGACAGCATTGAATCTATGGAAAAATTGATGAAATGACGGAAGAAGCTTTTTTAGAAGGAAAACTGAGATTTACATATTGTTAGAAAACAAGCAGAGGGCCGAACCTATCCGACAGAAGGTATGTGACTATTACTTTTTGCGTTATTAGTCTCTTTCTTTTTTTTTATTTCTACCAATTCCATTGGTAGTAAACTTCCGAATGGATCCGTAGCAATTCTCTATTCTTGGGATAGGCAAACAACCGTAACCACATGCTGCAGGGTGTCTACAAGACAATATTTAACTTTCTAATAAAACAGATTTATACAAAAGGTTGAATATCTCTGAAATTGTTCGTCCGATTGCACCTCCAAAATACCTTCAATATTGTAAGAGCTATAATCATATCAAATTTCAACTTGCTATCTCCTTTTTTTCTCACGTTATCGTGCATACAAGATTTTCATGAAAAACGGGAAAATCGCAATATCTTCAAACTGTGTATTGAAGAGTATATATTCTGATTGACATAGAGGCCATCGAGACGAGTATTTGAAAAAAAAATTGAAATCGGTGCAGTAAGTTTTGAGATGTTGAGGAAAAACTAAATTTAAACAAGTTGTTATATCTCAGGAACTACTGGACCAATTGGACTGAAACAGCGCATCAAATTTGAGCTGAATAATAGCTAAAATGAACCAAAATTTCGAATTTTTATCTACAAATTTCACTGTATTTATGTTGAATTTTCTAAAAATTAACCACCAAAAACTCAAGTTGTCGGATATATACATATAGCCATGACCCTAGAAACAACATTTCTCCATGTTTCATAACATTCTAGACCATTTGCAATCAAAATGAGAAAATCGAAAAATCGGTCAAAAACGAGGTTGCTATTCGGAAGCAAAAAACGAATTAGCTATGTAGGAGTCAAATTTCAAAAAACTAACTTGTAATTACTAGTGTGCACTTTTTTTTTTAATTTTGCAAAAAAAAGCTCTGTAACTCAAAAGTTGGAAACCTTAGACTATTTTTGACAAGTCAAACGTCTGCAGGGCAAACGAACCATAAACAATTTTTTGGCACTAATTACTAGTTTTTAAACGTATATAATCGATATTCAATGCATAATAAATCTCACTCCAATAGCCCACGTCTTTTAAAGCTCATAATAGTCTTCCCTTAATAGCCATTCAATAATGCTTTCGTTGCAAAGAGTGAAAAATGATCCATCCAGAAATAAAGAGGAAATCATAATTTGCAAAAAATACGCAAAGAAATGAATAAACGTCAACTGAAAAAGAGAACAATGGAAAGGAAAACACCGAAGGCTGACTAGGCAATATTTTATCAATATGATTAGAATTCAGTTGACGAAAAAACCCGAGAGATATTTGCATTCATGATAATACAAGAAACACATCTTTAGAGTTTGAAAATAATCTTCATGAATTATAAATTGTTTGCTTTTGATGCAAAAGTTTTCTTTTGACCCATTGAAATGTCCCATTCGAATCAAGTGGATAAAAATATCTCGATCATTATCTGAAGATCGTAAACGTCAGAATCTCACTCCAATAGCCCGCGAATTTTAAAACTCATAGTAGTCTCCCCTCAATAGCCATTCAATAATGCTTTCGTTGGAAAGTATGAAAAGTAGTCCATCCCAGAAATAAAGAAAAAATCAAAATTTGCAAAAAATAAATAAATGAATAAACGTCAAATGAGGATGAGAAAAATCGAGAGGAAAACACGGAAGGCTGACTAGGCAATATCTTTTATAAATATGATTAGAACTCAGTTAACGAAAAAATCAGAGAGATTTGTGTATTCATGACAATACAAAAAAAACATCTTTAAAATTGAAAATAATCTTCATAAAGTATAAATTGTTTGCTTTTGATGCGAAAGTTTTCTTTTGTCTCATTTAAATGTCCCATTCGAATCAGGTGGATAACAATATCTTGATGATTATCTGAAGATCGTAAACGTGAGGATCTCACTCCAATAGCCCGCGAATTTTACAACTCATAATAGTTTCCCCTCAATAGCCTTTCAATAATGCTTTCGTTGGAAAGAGTGAAAAGTAATCCATCTCAGAAATGAAGAAAAAATCACAATTTGAAAAAAAAAAATAATTGAATAAACGTCACATGTTGACGGTTATTCAATTGACGAAAAAGTCAGAGAGATATTTGTATTCATGACAATACAAAAAAAACATTTTTAATGTTTGAAAATAATCTTCATAAAGTATAAATTGCTTGCTTTTGATGCGAAAGTTTTCTTTTGTCTCATTTAAATGTCCCATTCGAATCAGGTGGATAACAATATCTTGATCATTATCTCAAGATCGTAAACGTGAGAAATGACAATTTTATGCTGAAGTTATTCCGCAATTGCGCAATCTGGTTGTGGTTGACATTCAGAAAATCTCCATCCAGAATCCCACTTGATTTTTTCACCTCTTTTATCTACTCTATGCGAGAAATCAGAGCAGACCACAAACAGGTAAATATTTAGGTGTCATAAAATGAGTAAAGACATAAACACTTTGTTTTTTTCTCAATTTTAGTACGAAGGCCTATTATTATTATCGTTAGTGATGCTCCACTCGCGTAACAATTGAATATTACAATGTAATAATGTTTAGAAATACAAATTAATAAATTGTAAATATAAAACTAAAGAATATCATCTCTTCAGCACGAACGAAGCACTCACGCTCAATTCGAATAACAACGGTTAAAAAATAACGTTATTTATATTCATTGCAATACACATGGGATGAAATTCGATTCATGCACTGCGGAAAATTATTATAAAATAGATAAAAATAGAAGAAAAATCGATTTTTACATGAAGAATATCTGAGCCAGTGACGATTTTTCGCAAATATCTCTGAGATTAGTGAATCTAAGATGAAACTGACGACAGACATTTTTGTTTGTAATTCATCGAACTATTAGTTATTGACAGACTCAATAACAAAGAAACGTGGAGTGAGATGAGTTCCAAAATGCTACGCCACGTTCGAAAAAATTTCACAGAACTATCTTACAAATTCGCTAGCTAATTCTATACGAGTTATATTGAAAACTCTATTAGTTTTTCGCCGAGTCTATTGAAAAATTCTGCAGCTTTACTACGAGTTTTTGTTTTCAATTGAAATGCCCCATAGGAATTATTTTTCACAAAAAATGAATCGAATTTGAGTTTTCTGTGCAACTTATACTGTTGTGATATTTTCGGTAGAAACTTCTCGGCTCAAATCTTTCAAGTTTTATTGTTTTTTTTTTTATAACAGGGAAAAAAATAAAGTGACAAAAACTGATAAAATTTAGATCGAGGAATTCCTGTAGAAAATGTCTCAATAAAAACAAAAAGATTAAATTCTATTGATTTTTGTCTATGAAATAGTTTCTATTGATGATTCTCAATTGAAAGAATGCGTGGAAAAGCAGTGGGATTTTTCAAGAGAATAGGCGAAAAACTGATCAAATTTTCAACACAAGTTCAACAGAAATTCAATAAAGTTTTCTAGCGAATTCGCTAGGTTTATCTATGAAATTTTTGATGCTGATGTCTCTAAAACAATTGGATTCATCACAATTTCTCAACTTCTCCAATCTAAAGATATTCACGAAATAATCAACAACTCAGTTCATTTCAGGTTCATCTTGTGTTCATCTATGACCAGAATGACATTGATTCATTTTTTTTATGTCCTTCCATCGTGAAGGGACATTTTTGAGCAATTCTGACCTTTTTCGGTCCTCAAGACAGTGATAAAAGCTACAAAAATTCAATGGATACAATTTTTGAAATACCAAAATGAAATGAAGAAAGCTACAAACTTGACAATTTCCCAAAACTACTCTAATTCTTCAGAAAACTCCATCCCACAATATAAAATACTTCCTATCTGCATCATCTCCATCAACTTAATAAAATGGCGCACCTCTTCCCCAAACAAATCTCCATCAATTAAATTTTATCACTTGTCCACTCCTCTTAAACAAGAGATTACAATACAGAGGCATTAAAAATATTGATTGAAAAAATGAAACAAATCTGAATAAAAAATAAACTCATAATTTACAACATGACTCAACAACGTTCTACCGAAGACAGGTCGTTTAAAGGCTCGCATGCCTTGAGGTCTACACGATTCATTTCGTTTTTATTCGTCTGACCAAGAAGAAAAATTCGCACAGAGAAATGAATAAAATAATAAAGAACAAGATGGTCAGAAAAGTCTGAAGAGAGAAGGAGAGTGAAGAATGAAGTTAAGGTTGCAGAGGAGAAGGAGAGGGATGTCTGAAGGAGGAGAGGGACCGGCCGATAATAAAACGGCGTGGCGAGACGCACAGACAGATAATAATAACGATATATCAATGTTTCAACGATATACCGGTTAATTAAATACTTCATTAATCCATTAATCAGTGGGGCATAAAATAATTCGCATCTCCTTATCATTTTTATGACCTCAGACATGTTCTATTAATTTTATTTCTCCATTTTGCTCGATTTTCCTCGATTTGCGGTGATTTTTTTTAGTCTCCTATTTTCGCGATTTTTTTATTGAGTTTCAATATGGATCAAGTGCAGCGAGACCCAGTCTTGGAGGCTCGGCATAACTGTGGCGATAACGTCCAGGAGTCGGGAGAATCTCCATACTCTGCCGTGTCTCGCGGTCCAGGTATTTTTCGTGCCTTGGAATGTCTTGGTAGACTGGACGGACTCTCTGCTTCTCGCGTAGGTCACGAGAGTGTCGATCTCGGGCCTCTCGAATCTAGAATGAAATGAGGAAAATTAGAGACTCATTGATATCTTGTATCACTGGATGAAGAGATAACTTGGTGATTTGAGGTTTTGATTATTATCTTCGGATCTAACGGTGTATTATAGAGATATTTCTTCTGAAGGGGTATGGAAACGGTTCTTCGAAGAATTTCGTTATCTCCTTTTAATTTCAAGTTATTTGACAAATGATGTTCCGAGGAAATTGACTCATTTGTGGCTTTAAGGATGTCAATCGTGTTTGATAAAAAATGTTTTTTCTTTCCCTTCACTTGTAGAGAAAAATATATTAATCCATTCGACCAAATTTTAACCAACAAGGGGAACTAGATACCGAGAAAATAAATACAGAAAACGCTCTGTGCGACGTGACGAATTTCAAGAAAGCATCGGAAGCTATAATAATTTTAGTATCTTTTTTTATGAAAATGGAACCAAAAAAAGGGAAAACCGGAAATTTTTTTTGAAACGCCTCTCAATTTTTCAATTTTCAATGTTTTTAGCTAAAAATTGGTTGAATTAATAAAAAATATGTAAATGATATAAAAAATTCTGTTCGCTGCTTTCTGGTGAAATTTGCGACCTGAACATTGCACCTGAAAAGTGGACTCTGACGACGGACCTCTATGAACAGCAGCTCATAACTTTCAAACGTTCGATGAAAAATACTTGAAAAAATTGCGAGATGTACTTTGAAATATGAATAAAATGAATTCATAGTTTGAATTAATTGCAATCATTTCTTTCCCTCCGAAAAATTCACAAAAAAATCATAAAATAAGCCTCCCAGTGTGGTTTCCCCCCTTAAATAGATCCAGAACGTTGGAATATTTCTCTTATTCCTCATGTCTCCATTTTTTTCAATTTTTTTTTCCATCCGATTGAATGTGAAATGTTCAATGAAATCATAGCTCAATAAGAGCCCATGTGTAAGGCTCATTTTGTTTATTAAATTTATCGATACCTATAAGTTTTAAAATTGTTCGGAATGGAAGCTTTGTAATCCTTCAACTTTAAGTTTCCAATTTTTTGTGTTAGGGTAACGAAATATGGTCTAAAACACCGAATATGCGACTTTTAGATAGTGTATGTGGTATTTTTTCATTTTTTTGCTCGATATTTTCTTATAAGAGATGAATCGAATTTCATTAATTTTTTCATGAATATAAACTTTGATAAACTCTATTCATTGACACTAAGTAAAATTCAACGTTTCATTCAGATTTGAAAAAATAGATTTTTTTCCAAAAATCTATTTTTCAACGTTCACTCAAAAAATTGTCATGAAAATGTAATTAATCACGAGAACAGAATCATTGCTTATAAAGTTATACAATACCGTCATGAGCTTTTCATATAAAAATCTCTCAAGTCACTCTCTCAACTCAAGTACAAATCTATTATACTGACTTATTTATATTGATTCCCGACTAATTTCTGACAGAACCTGGATTAATCTCTGCTTAAATCCTGAATAAACCCTGATTAAATCCCGGTTATACATTGATTAAACTTGGATTAAACCCGGACTGAAAACGAATTCGAGGCTTGAGAGGGTCTGAATGGAGAATCATTTGTCAGAACGAAATAAGGCGTAAAATTTTGACGATATCTCAGTTGATGATAGTACTATGACGTGAAAAAATAGAAAAAAGCGAAGAACAGCGAAATAAGAATTTTACAAAAGAGAACCTATTCGGAAGCAAATTACTAATCTATTAGCAACAATTACTATACTCATTTAGAAAAAAAATGTCCACTTGCTTTGAAATTGTCAGCAATGTCCACTATGTATATAATACTATTAAGGGGGAGGGGTGGACACAACTTTTTTCAAGTACCAGAAGTATTTGATGGAAAATTTCAGCAATTTTATTTAAATTTCTTCTTTATTTTATTTAAACGAAAGTGTAGGCATGAAATATTTTGAAATTTCCATTTTTCAATAACATTCTTTTCTATTCAGCAGAAAGAACGGGGTGATTTCAAATAACATACAATTGATTTTCATATGATCATATGAAATACACCAAAAAATTTTGCAGATTATTTTTCTTACTCGGATTTCAGCCAATCAGAGCGCAGTATTTGAGGCTGTCAAACAGTTTTATTTCGGAAATTTCTAAAAAAATTCCGACGGAAATTCACTAGTAGCTTTTCAAACGTTTCTCATCTTTCAACGCCTTTCACGTTTAATATTCTATATGACAGATAAACAGAAAAGTGGGTTGTAAATGTATGGCTGTGTAAATCTATCCGGATGCTGTTCACTGCACTCTGCTTGGCCGAAATCCGAGTGGAAAAATAATCCGTCAAATACCACTCGTGCTTCAAAATTAATCGGATATTTTCCTCAAGCTTCCCTGCCCAGGAACGCGTGTGTCAAAGTTTGCAGAAAAATCCCTCGTGCTTCGCACTCGAGATTTTGAACCTGCAAAATTTGACACAATTATTCCTAGGCAACGAAGCTATCGGAAAATATCCGATAATTTTGAAGCACTAGTGGTATAACTACTGAAAAATATTGGAAATTGAAACGAGTAAAAAAACGAAAAATTAAAATTTTCGGTAAGAAAAGCAAAAAAACTTCAGAAGCGTCAATCATAAGATGACGGTGGAATCTAAAATCTGCCCTCCCCCCCTGCTCTTCTCTTCCTACAACGGTCTATTCCATTTTCAAAAGAGGGACCAGCTTATGGAGTCTCACAATTCTGAATAATATGAATTTTCAGATTTATTATAATTTAATTATTGGTGAAGCTTTCTATGATGAAAATATCCAACGAATTATGTTTTTATCAATTCCTTATCTACTGATTACATTTTTTCGATGACAGGAAAAATCATGGAGAGGGTTTTTATTGTAGAGGATTTTCTCCTCTGCATTTTTCCTGAAGATCGTTCAATGTAGAGAGAATCATGAAACTATTCACATTCATTCGTTCATCATTATTCAAACATCATTAATTTCATTGCCCACCTCTCTGTGATCGATCATATGTCTCTGCTCCCTCGGCTCCCTTCCACTCGAGGAATTATCGTAGAAACTCCTAGGCCTGGGTCTAGACGTGACCTCAGGCTCGGCTGGACGATCCGATGAGTAATGCTGTCCTCTGACCCTTGGCCTATTTCTGTAATCACTCCTCTCGCGCTCTTTTTCACGTTCCACCTCAGGATGACTCCTTCGAATCATGTGTTCGTGATGTACTGGAGTCGATGACGAATTGTTAGAGGAGATATGACGACTCGTGCGGTCCTCGTAAATCAACCTCGATTGATCCACTCTGAATGAAAAAAAAATCAAGTATTTAGAAATATGAGGTAATTATGAAGAAATAATGAAATACAGCGAATTGCAATAGAATAAATACTTCAATCAATCGAAAAAATCCCAGCTATTTCATTCACTGTTTACATTAAACATTGACCACCGAGTTGGCTAAATTTATAGATTCCAAATAACGCAACTTTATTGGTAGAGACAAGATGCGATAAATAAGCCACCGCCCAAAGGCAATAATTTCACTCGCACCAGACTCCCTTTCTACCTCGGACTCAAGATACAACTTTCTGATCTAGCTACCGCAGATTTCCACCGTAGACAGGTCCCACTATGGATTTTAATGGGTGGAATGATTTACCACCGGTTTGGTACAGCATTTCTAAAATTCGATCTGTAGAATGTGCACTTTACCGATGAAAATCATTGCCATGACGTCTAATGGCAATAACATGTGTACTGTATGTTGTTGAATATAATGTTGTGGGTAATGGATGTAAATTCAGTAGTAAAGTAATGCAAAGAAGAAAACATGTGTTGAATGCAATATTTCGCTCCACGGTTAAGACCTTTTCACTGAAATTACCGATACACTCCTAAAAATCACCTAGGAATGCTCTGGGCACAGTGATGATAAACGAATTTCGTTTTAAGGATATCCAAGTACTTTGGCTATTTTTTTTTCAGTGAAATGCTTTTCTACTTTTGTAGTTGAACGTCAGAGCTTTCATTTAAGCCCCATTTCATCCCAAGTTTTCGGACATTTTACATTGATTTCATTATTTAAACTTTGCAGGCCTGAATTTGAATCTCGATATTGAGCAGTTGGAAAACATTTTAAAAATCTGAAAAAATAGAAAGTTTACTTTCGGGGGAGATCATGAAATAATTAAAAAATTGCAATTACAGTTTTATTGCAATATTCGAAATAAAACTGTCGAATAGCCTCAAATACTACGCTCTGATTGGTCGAAATCTGATTGGGAAAAATAAGTAGTAATAGCCCAAGAGCTTCAAAATTATCGGGTATTTCCCAATGACTTCATTGCAAATAAATGAGAGTCAAGTTTTGCAGGTTAAAAAATCCCAAGCGCTTGCGCGAGTTTTTCTGCAAAACTTGGCACGATCGTTTGTTTGCAGGGGCGCTTGAGGGAAATGTCCGATTAATTTAGAAGCTCGAGGGGTATTTGTCGGATTACTTTTCCCAATCGGATTTTGGCCAATCAGAGTGCAGTGGACAACATCAGGAGGTAAATTAGGCGAGATTTGAACAAATTATATTGCTAGAATAACCTGATTTCCGTAGACTGTCAAATACAAGATTCGATCTGACATGAGTCGAAAAAATGAAGACCTACTGCGAAATATTCAAAAGCTACGAGGAAATATCCGGAATAAAATTGTCGGGTAGCCTCAAATACTGTGCTCCCATTGGTCGAAATCCGATTGGGAAAAATAATCAAAATAAGATCGACGTGAAAGTATCACGTGATCTCAAATACAAATTTAGTTTTGGAGGATAAAAATAATTGATTCTGCTATACCTCGAGGTACAAATTGGCTTGAATCAAACCGAAAAATCGGTCTGAATCAAACCGAAAAATCAGTCTGAATCAGACCGAAAAATCGACTTGAATTAGACCGAAAAATCGACCTGAATCTGACCGAAAAATCGACTAGAATCAAGTCGCTATCTATTACCTGGAACAGCCAGAATTTCGCCGTGAATCACTCCATTTTTCGGGTTGATTCAAGTCGATTTTTCGGTTTGATTCAGACTGATTTTTCGGCCTGATTCAGACCGATTTTTCAGTTTGATTCAAACCGATGTCGGCATAACCCGTTTCTACTTGAAATAAACCGATTTTTGACTTATATCAGACCCGGAATCCGGATTGGCGTAGTCCGGGTCAGTCGGTCTGAATCAAACCGAAAATCGGTCAGAATCAAACCGACGTCGACTTGAATCAGTACTTTTTTTTGGGTGTCTGTAAATTATTGAGTTATACAGCTCCGGCAGCGCTAATTTTTCTTCTTTTTACTTGTATTTTACGATGAGGAAATGAAAACAATACTAAAAATTTGGAGGCAATATTTTAGGTCGATATTTGGTGGAATCGCTCATATATTTCTAACGGTTCCACATGATTTCATCACTGCGATATTTCATCCGCCGAAAAAATTCTTGGGAATTTCAGCCGTCAACAATTTATTCGCTGAAAAAAAATTCTGCGACATTTCATCCGCGAATTTCGGCACTAAGATATTGATGAAATAAAAGAAAACAGAAAAAAAGACGGAGAATATAATTGTGGAGAATACATTTACGCCGAGAATATTTAATCTGATTTTTTTTCAGGTGATTTGTCGGGCGGATGAAATGTCACAGTCATGGAATTACGTGTCACCATTTCTAACGTCTTGAATCTATCTAATCGCATTTGTCAGATGAATTTAACAACCTCAATACATGCAAAGAGAACTTTTTCATAGCTCAGAAAATTCTTCACAAAAAAGATATATCTGGCGATGATTTATTCCTGCATAACTCACTACTGATATAATCCGACGACAAAGAAGGTGACTCGTGGAGTCTCGAAGCGTTTCATAGTTATCAATATTTACAATCAACTTTTACTGCTGCGAATCCTTTTATTAATTTTCATCGTCATTTTTTACTCCGTTTGTGCTCCATTAGCAATTCCGGAATTATTCATAGCTCGTGCGAGGATTCTTCAAGCATCCAAGGACACAAGCGGAATAAACATCTGCATTCCGCAATTATTCTTTCATAATGCTTAAAAATTCGAAAAATCCCGAGTTAACTTATAATTCTGTCGACATGCGCATGGATACTGTCACTGTCATTATTCTCGCTGTGCAACGGTTTTTCATGTTTTTTTCACTGGGGTTCTTTACCCCGGTGATCACTAGAGGTAATCCACGAACTTGGAAATTAAAGTCTCATCATAATTATGAGAGCCACAAGGTGAATGAGCAGCGATTCCTGGACAGACATTGGAAATTAAGAAAAATTGGGAAAATTATTGATATTTTCAGTTTTTCTGAAAATGATTGCAGTGATTCTTAACTTGACACTAATAATTGATGTAATTTGTTCTCAAAATTGTTTTTGTTTGTTTTTTTTGTTTGAGTCGTACGGCTAAACTGCGTTTTGTTTTATCTTGAGATCAGTTTTTACAACGAATTTCCGAATCGAAGGGAGATGACAAAATCCTTTTACACTGTTACACAAAGAATTGAAATTTCATCGACAGTTTGCTCGTAACTTTCAAGAGAACGGCATTCAATTCGATTTAGAGGAGGAACAAGCAGGAAGCCGAGCCTTTCTGTCAGAAGGCATGTGACCGTTACTTGATGCGTTATTTGTCTTCTTCATTTTTTATTTCTACCAATTTCATTGGGAGTAAATTTTCGAATGAATCCGTAGAAATTTCATTTTTTAATTGTAAAGTGGTAATTTTTATTAAAAACGTTTCCCCGAAACATTTGACCTCCTAAAATTGAGAATTAAATTTCGGTTTGATCCAATGGGATAGGCATATCTACATGAGCCCATTTTCAAGACATGTATCCATGTGAAAATCAATGATAGAACAACGATATGTCATTTTATGCGAAAAACATTTTTTACATCAACTGCTCTATTTAAAAAAATATTGAATCGATCAATCTGAAATTTTACACAGCAGTGCAACTCGATGATAACAAGTAGTCAGTAGTAATACCACGAGACCTCCAAAATTATCGGATATTTCGCGATTGTTTTGTTGCGTAGCAACAAGAGGGACAAGTTGTGCAGATTAAAATCCCAAGCGCGCAGCGCGAGGAATTTTTGTGCAAAACTTATCCTGATCGTTGATACACAGGAACACATGAGGGAAATGTTCGATTAATTTTGGAGGTCGAGTGGTATTCGACGGATTATTTTTGGTAATCAGATCCTTCTCAAACCGACTCATTTTTCTTCATGTCTTTCTTTCACTCCACAGGATAATATTTGACAGTTATTTGGTTAAATAAATAATTGCAGAGGTAGAGGGAAATTATCAAAAGCTAGGGGGAAATAACCGCTGTAATTTTAATTGGGAAGTACTCCATGTTATTGAATACTGAACTCTGATTGGCCCAGGGAAGGCCAGATCCGATTACCAAAAATAATCCTCAATATTTTGAAACTTTACCACATCCTTCACTCATGTAATGGAACATCAAAGCAACTTTCAGACACAAAAAATAGAAAAACGCCAATATCTCGTAAACTTTGTAGGAATGGGTATGTATAGACGAACATTTTGAAAAAAAACTTGAAATCGGATGAATAATTTTGAGATATTGAACAATATAGTTTTATGTAAAAATTTGAATATCTTTAAAACTACTTATTCGATTTTGCCCATCGAAAATCCCAGCCTGTAATATAATAAGAGTTAGAATCCTACCAAATATCAATTTCCTATCTCAATTTTTTCGAGGGTTATCGTGTCCATATCGATTTTATCATGAAAATGAAAAATGTCAGTTACTGGACGATTCACAAGAGTCAGTTAGGCACATTACGGTCAAAAAAAGTACATTTGATGCAGTAGTTTTCGAGATATTGAGAAAAGAAAAAATTTTCTGAATCGCTCTCAAAAACAAAAACAATACCAATTATGCGCCAAAATTTCAGATTTTTATACATCACTTTAGTCCTGTTTGTGTGAAAATTTATAAACAAATTTTCAGAATTTTGTATGCACATACGGAGGTACACACAAACAATCTCTAAAAACATACCTCGACGTTTCATGACATTCTAAGTCATTTCTAAGTAAAATTAGAGAATCAAAAAATCGACCGGTTACAAAGCTTCCCTTCGGAAGCAAAAGACCAACAAAATTTCAAACTTCACAGAAAATTGATTGAAATTCGAAATGTTTAAGCAGCAGGAAGACAAGAATTCCTTTTCTTACTCTAATAATTAACTTTTCAATTAACGTATGAATATTCAGTAGCAAATTACACTGACCTTTCAATTATTTGAAAATTTGAGTATGCATTTATCTAAATTTTTCTAATTTCGATTAATTTTTATGGAATAATTAAACTGAAATTTACAGCTTTTGTTCATTTTTTAAAATAAAATTATAAATTTTCAATGATGAAATTTCTTAAAATTTCAGGGAAACTGTCACTTCATAAAACCTTTCAAAAGTGTAGCGGATATATCAGATTTTTTTTTTACAATTGTAGTCTTTTTTGTCCGAATTCAAAGATTCACAAAAAAGAGTTCTATGCAAATTTCAGGATTTTTCCTTGATTTTGAGTTTGATTTTGTCCTCAAAATAAAGTTGATTTATCTTGTCCGTTTTTTTATTATCAACTTCAAAAACGAGTGAGGACAAAATAAAAAAAAAGAGCTGTAAAACAATTCCAGATTCTTTCGTTGCTTCTTACATAGTTTGTACATCTGACCTCAAAACTGATTTATCTAGTGCTACAACTGAGCAATTAAATTATCTCATACTTCCAGTAATAAAGGAAATACTGCAAATTAATCCTGCGCAGTTATTTACCATTTACTAGTCATTAATAAACTATAATTACACGCGTGCGTCTTTACATAACAACACGTTACTCATTCATTTTCTGAGCTTTAACTGCAATTTAACAGCAAATAAAGTAATCCAATGCTTTTTAAATATATATTTTTTTAATTACTCAACTGATTAAAAGCTAACTCCATTTCGCATTTCAAAAAGAATATTTTTCAAATTGGAGAAATTCCTGTCGAGTTTCTTCTAAAACCCTTCACTATGAAATTATGTGAGAAATGTATTTATTCCAATAATTCTTACAAAATCACTGCTGCATTATTCATCGTTGCACGGCTCCATAAACAATATAAATACTGCACGTGCATAATTTCTAGTCATTCACAATCACCTGATAATAAATTAATAATAGCTATTCCCCTGTGTTTTTAGTAACTCCATCTCTAATTACTAGTCATTCCCAACAGTTCACAGCCATAAAATCTCGCCATAATCCTCCTTAATATTCGAAATCTCCTCACGTCATTTGGAAATACGTTGAATAATAGATTGCGAACCCACCTGTGCATTCCATGGCTATCGTTCTGATCTCTGGGCCTTGTAATTATCCCTCGCGAGAGGTTTTCCCTCTCCATGGCCTTGAACATCTCCTTGGCATCTTGGAATCTCTCCCGAGGGCTTGTCACCTCAAGTGGATCAACTTTTGGTTGGTACTGAGGGCTTGGGGAGCGCTGACGGTGTTCCGGGGCTCTTCGTGCATGATTGTGAGAATTTGGAGAGACTCCTCGGGTTAAGCCCACCGGACGCTCTGGGCTCCTCGGAAGACGTGGCAAGGCGACGTTTGTTGTTTCTTGGAGGAACTCTGGATCTTCTGGAGCGTTCCCCCAGTCTTCATCTGCAATTTTCAATCCGAATTAGTAATGTTTATTTTTCACTGAAATCGTAAAACAAACAAGTTCTCAAACAAGTTTTGTTTGAGCAAACAAAATCGCTAGTTGAAAATTGCCAAAGAAGAAATTGTTTGAATCGAATTTGAAGGTCTCAAACATGAATAATTGTTCTGCTTTCGATGACAACGAAATGTTTGGCGTAAGCGGCGGATAATCCACACGAGAAGGTGCTGTTTCAGGATGACAAACTCTCGTGTAGAGGAAAAACATGAAAAAAAGCAAGTCGACCCGTAACACTCAAAATGGATACCAAATGGTACCTAGCGTGTGGACTAATCGGCTCAGAATCCCAATATCTCTATTCATAAATAAGGATATGAAAGATTAAGGTGAATCACAAACATTCCACTTTGACCCACTTGCCCCTACCTAAGGTGAATTAATTAATTTCGTCGTTTTCATAGTTCAATTAACTATCGCATCGAATTTATATTCATATCGTTGGTTTTCAATATTACTGTTATTCGATTATGTATTTGAAGATGTTTTCTAACTGTTCTTAGAATCATCGGAGTAGTACCTCATTTCTCATGAATACTTTGCAGACAATCATTATTTTTCTGAAAAAAAAATTTTTTTTAGAAATAAAAAAAATCAGATTTTCAAAGGTTTAACTATTTTTATTATCAATTCTAGGGGGAGGAAAATTTCACAATGTACGTAGACTAAAAACAGTGTCTGAATTTCAGATATTTTTGTAGACAACTTTCAGACATTTGAAAATACGAATGCTTGCACTCATACACTTATACATCTCTGAATTCATAAACTTATGAGTAAGGGTAATTCAAAAATATCTGAATATACAGTTCAGGCTCTGTACAAGATAAATACTTTCGTACAAGCTACTAGGCTTGAATTCGTGCCGAAAGATACCCCTACTTTCTGGCTTGAATGTTTTCCGCTTCGTATTTTCCGTACAAGATATTCGACAAAGGGGCTAGAATTGAGTGGGAACGGAATTGAGATATTGCAGAAATTACTGAAAATATATGCATCTATGATCTAGAACTTAATTGCATATCAATTGAATTTCAAAACGAATGGGTACTCGTTACAGTTAATAAAAAAAATTGAACGCATCGATCATAAAACTTGTTAGAATATATATTTTTTTATACGTACTGCACCATGTGTTTTACGTCCATTTTTTGGATGGATAGATAGAGAAAAAAAAACAAAATTCCACCCAATTTTTATGAAAACAAAAATTCCAATGAAAGTCTCAATTTTGCCTCGCAGGCCCCTATCAACAAACTAATTTATTCAGAATGTCTAAAGTGTCATTTTGAAAAGGAACAATACTTTCTAATCAAACATTCGTGTTTCACATCAGGAATCGTACTCAAATGACCATAAAAATAGAAATCGTCTAGTACACTGAGAAAAAAAAATTCTAATATCTGAAACATATTTTCTTGAAACAAGTAAATTTTCTCCAATTGCTTAATTCTCTCAGGCATCTCAACTCGCATGACCCGAGAAAGGCTTCATGCTTTAAAATATTCTTGTACTCAAGAATGATTTTGCCGCAAATGGACTTATGTAAATCGCGTAGAAGAATCGTCAATCTTCTAGTCTGTATTGTTTTCATGATTTTCTCGTTATGCACTTCCAATATTGCAATATGTAAAATATTCATGACGGAACGATAGTAACACGGAACGATAGTGATGAATAAAAATTTATTCGAGTTCCGTGAAGTGCACACATTCTGAGATTTAAGCCATTGAAAATAATTTACTTCTCTCAAGAAAATATGTTTCAGATATTAGAATTTTTTGTTCTCAGTGTCTCTTGTACGAAGAATATCAAATCAAAATACTTTCTCCTCTCAGCGCGAGTAAAGTGGGGAACATGTCATTCTCGCAATTTTATTCCCCTGCAGTCCCTGTGGTATCTTGTACGAAGATTGGACTGTACACTGAAAGAAAAAATTACTTTTGACAAAGATGATTTCCTTGATGCAAGAAAATATTCTCCTGTCAATTTCTAGAATCGTGAAATCTCCTGATAAATAATGTGCTCACACTGAGAGAAAGAAGTCGTTCAACCAGATGAGATTCTCTCGTCCCGAGAAAATTTTCAAGTGTTAGCATAAGTCTTCCCATAAATTCATATAGTTTGCGTTATATCTAGAATTTAATGGATTGTGAGAATTCACGTGTTCCCGATCTGATCACTCAGCATATCCAACTGACCAATCCTTGTTTCGATTGCACGAAAAAACACTTCTATTATCAATTCAAGTCTATAGAAAATTGATCTCAAGTATTGTGCTCTTTGTGATTTTATGGAATCAAAGTCCTGATGATAAATAATTCTAGATATAAGGAAAACTACACGAATTTATGGGAAGGACATCATTTCTCATCTTGAGAACCGTTAAAAATTCTCTCGGGACAAGAGAATCTCATCCTGTTGAAAAACTTTTTTCTCTCAGTCTGAGAACGAAATTATTTATTAGGAGATTTCACGATTTTTAAATTTGATAAGAAAATATTTTCTTGCAGCAAGTAAACTTTCGTTATCAGAGCTTTTTTCTTAATTTTCTTTCTCAATTTTTTGTCGAGTTATCGCACGTACAAAGAATTTCAGGAAAAATGGAAAATCGGCAATATCTCGAAAACTGTACGAACGGATTAGTCAATACACAATACCCCCTTCCCGTGGTCATGAAGAGGTCCCCAGGATTTTATTGTTGGATTCTACGTTTTTGGGGGTGAGGAATCCGATTCCGTTGGTGGTTTTGCCGTTTCATTGCGCAATAATTTGTTATAAACAAATTAACTCCGATTTTTAATAAAAAAATTATTTTCCACAAAAACGGTGAAAGATACGGAAAAAAGTTTCAAATGAAAGTTGTTCCTCTTTTTCTCCTGAATAAAAAAGTTTTTGACTTATCAAAATCGGCCCAGTGGGTCACGTAATATCAGCTAATCAGTGAACGCGGGGCGGCGGACCGCGCGGAATTCTTCGGCAAATGAGCGCGTGTAAATGAATATCGGTTAGTTTCACGTATTTTATTCTATTGAACAACTTCTTGGTCATACGATATCCTAAAAACTGTTTAAATAATAAATATAAATAAATATCACGCGCTATCGGCTAATTAGTGAACCGGAATGTGTCAGCTGCTCTGAGAGATCACGAAAATGAAGGTGGACATCGATTGATCTCTAATTCATGTAGTCGAAAAAAAAAAAATTATGGGAGATGACAGACTTACACAGATGTACACAAAAATTTAATCATACGATGTCAATGATATCTAAACTTTATATTTTATCATTTTTAATCGGATTCTTACATGTTGTGGACATAACACAGTTACAATAGANTTCAATTGGACCTGATCGGCCATCGTAACTTCACTAACGTCACTAATTGAAATTATTACTTATTGAAATCTCCATTTCTTTGCGAAAAAATAAATCAAATCATGGAACTGATTTTCACTCGGATTTCTAACTGTCCGCCACCAAGAAGGGGCTGCAACTGAAGACATCATTGGTTTTTGCGGGGAAATGCTAGTTTAAACAAGAATAAACGAGTCGATGCTCACACGTGCTCGGACGATTTCCACGAATCGAAAATAAAAGAAATTAAAAAAAAAGAAAAGAGATAGATTTTTAGTTTATCTAAAAGTAGAAATATTTGTGTATTTGAATAAGTTGGGTAGAGTAGGACAAAATGAACACTTGAGACTTTTCAAAAAATATTAATGACTTATTTAATTCAATAAAAAAAAATTATTCAACTGCTAATTATTTGCCGAAGAATTCCGCGCGGTCCGCCGCCTCGCGTTCACTGATTAGCTGATATCACGTGACCCACTGGGCCGATTTTGGTGAGTCAAAAACTTTTTTATTCAGGAGAGAAAGAGGAACATTTTTCATCTAAAACTTTTTTCCGTATCTTTTACCGTTTTCGTGGAAAATAATTTTTTTATTAAAAATCGGAGTCAATTTGTTTATAACAAATTATTGCGCAATGAAACGGCAAAACCCCCAACGGAATCGGATTTCTCACCCCCAAAAACGTAGAATCCAATAATAAAATCCTGGGGACCTCTTCATGATCACGGGAAGGGGGTATTGCGTATAGACTAGATATACATATTTTGACTGATCTAAATAGAAGACACCGAAACGAGTATTTTGAAAAAAAAATGAAATCGGTCAAATAGTTTCCGAGATATTGACCTAAATAGTTTTATACAAAAAGTTGAATATCTCAGGAACTACTGGACAGATCAGGCTGAAATTGTGCACCGAACTTGAGCTTAATAGTATGTACTTACTATAGGTAAAAATTTTACATCCATATTAGTGAATTTTGCCGTATTAATTTTATATTTTCAAAAACGTCGTAACTGAAAACAGACCCGGCCATACAGACATTTTCTAACAACATAATTTCTTCACGTTTCATAACATTCTATATCATTTCCAGGCAAAATTAGAGAATGTCAAAATCCGACAAATACAATGCTTCTATTCGGAAGCGAAAAGAAAAATAATCATCATACCTTCAGAAGGTAAGGTGCCGTGGGGACCCTCGTATATCTGTGAACATCCATAATAACATATATGAGATGTCTCAAAGGGGTTTGAGTTCATTAATAGCAACCTAGTGAATTTATTTAAATTTATGTAAATTTTGGCGAAGTGGTCAAGTAAGTTAATTCTAGTACACTATAACGTAATGACCACTTCGTGAAAACTTACATAAATTTAAATAAATTCACTAGGTTGCTATTAATGAACTCAAACCCCTTTCAGACATCTCATATGTTATTATGGATGCTCACATACACGGAGAGAAAAATACATTGAAAAGTAAAAAGAACCTTCCTTAAAAATTAGTGTATTTCATCAATGAGAAAAAAGAATGCTGTTCACCCAGTTTTTCGGAAGAGTCACATGAGAAACTACGAAAAACG